CCAGGTTCCCAGGCACTCACCTGGGCCTTTCCGCGTGCCTGGTTCACAGTGTGATCAAAATATTGCAGGGGGCGCTGTGTTGTTGTCCCTTTGCGTTGATTCGGGCTCATGGAAACTGAGCCCAAGTGTGCAGAGCAGGACTGTTTTCTGTGGAGCAGAGCTGCTTTCAGAAGCAGATTGCTAGACCTGTCTGCTGAGGGGCCTGCGGGTGGGTTCGAACCGCCAGCCTTTGGGCTAGTGGTCAAGTGCTCAGCTGTTTGCTAACCCAAAAGAGGTAAAAGGGTGGGGCTTTAAGTGTTTGCTGTTCCTTCTTCCTTTCTGCTTCCAGTTCAGTGTTTGCCAGCTACCACCCTGAGAATCCAGAGGAGAAGTTCCACCTGTATGTGCAGATCCTTGACTATTTAAAAGGGCTTTACTGTGTGAACACTCAGCTGAAACAGGTAGGACAGAGCCGGGTGTGGGAGACCTGAGGATGGTGTAACAGGGCATGTTGTGGGATCCCTAGCTGGGCCAGCTCACACCCAAAGAGGGCCACTGGCCGGGGGACGTCCTTTCACTCTCTTGGGATGGCTGACTTCAGCCTAATGTGTCTCACGGAATGGAAGCTGTCTGGGGAGACCTGGGGAGAGATCGAGGAATGGCCTGCAGGGCAGAGCTGGACCGGGGAGCCTGTTAGCCCATGCCCCAGGGCCGGCTCTCAGCAGGCCCTTGGAATGCTGGTGAGCCCTTGCCACCTTCCCAAAAGCCCAGGCTTTGATCACCTCTGAGATCCTGGGGTAATAGCTGCCTTCAGCTTCGGCAGGATACTCCTATCTGCCTCCAGACAACTGATTGCATCCATGGCCACTAGAATGCTCAGTGTCTAGTCCTCATGGCTTTCATAAAGGCGGGGGGATGGTGCTGGAGCTGCCAGGGGACAGGCCCTGTCAGGCTTTCAGCCGTGGATTTTCTCTGTTAATTTAGCAAAAGTGCACTGGTTGTTGAAACAGGTAAGCTACCATAATGGCAAACGTTGCCTGAAAACGATCAGGCTGTCTTTTCAGTGGGCTGAGGTATCTGTCATTAATGTACCTAAGTGGTGCAAACAGTTTGTGCTCGACTGCTCACCTAATGGTTGACGGTTCGAATGCACCCAGCAGTGCCATGAGAGAAAGGCCTAGTGACCTGCTCCCGTAAAGCTTACAGCCAGGAGAACCCTCGGCAGCACAGCTCTAATCTGCAATAGCTTGGGTTGTCATGCGTCAGAATTGACTGATGGCAACAGTATCAACAAGGCAGACTGGGCTCCATTCCCATGAGTCCCCGCCTCGTTCCCCTGTGCCGGGACCACGTGGACCTGCCATGTGGTGTGAGGAGTCCCCTTCCCTGCAGTTGGCTCCCCACCTCCACCACTTGTTGGGGCCCGTGCCCTAGCAGTGGTCCTCATTCTTGCAGACAGTTACCTTCACCTGCTCCAGCAAGGCCTTGAGAAGGGCCTACAGGGCTAGCTTGGCTTTCCTCGCTTCCTTTCTCCACACGTGGCCGGCAAGAAAGCAGCAGGGCTCAGTGTGTCCATGCAAAGCAGTGATGCTCCAATGAGCGCTGCCAGGACTCACCGGGGAGCTTACCAGAGGTCCAGGGATCAGCAATCAACCCTGGCCTGGCGCCCGGCTCCCGGCTCCCAAGATTCCTGTTTAGTGGTGTGGGCCTAGGAACCTGTATGTTTAACCAGCTGTCCGGGTGGCCCTGCTGCAGGAGGGCCTGTACTTTGACAGACAGGCGTCTACCTCCTAATCACGTCCACGCTGTGTCGGCTTCCTGGGAGGTGGTCAGATGGAACATAATAAGCACCCAATATCAGTAAACAGCTCGCGTGGCCTGTTGCTCTCGGAAAGTCTGTACCTCGTACAAGCCCTCCTGGAGCTTAGGGAAGATGAACACTTTGAAGAACCTTCCTGAACTTCGTGTGTGAGAGATCGAGTGGCCGGTCCTTCCCAGGACGCTTGGCCTCCAGCACCCCTCCACTCTGACACCTGTCTTGCTCAGCCTTTACTGTAGTCTCCTCCCTGAGCAAGGGCCCTGTGACTTTCCTGGAGACCCATGGTCCACCTCTCCAACCCTCTTCACCCCGAGCACCTGGCCCCATCACTAGAGCTGCCTCAGGACACACAGCCGCAGGTGGGAGCAGCACCAGGACACAGCTGGACACAGCTGGCAAGTGAGAAGCACTTTTCCAGAGTGGGAAAGGCTTTGCAGAGGTCACCCCCACCCGGCTGTCACCCTCACGACCAGGGTGACATATTCATGGGATGCAGGGATGCTGCCCAAGGCCCTCAGGGATCCCTGACCTGTGGAGCTAACAAGCTACCCCCCCCACACACACACACACACTGTCCACTAAAAAAAAGCACCCACTGCCATCCAGTCAAGTCCAACTCATAGCCACCCTGCAGGACAGAGTAGAACAGCCCCATAGGGTTTCCAGGGCTGTAATCTTTACAGAAGCAAACTGCCTCATCTTTCTTTCATGAAGCAGCTGGTGAGTTCAAACTGCTGACCTTTTGGTTAGCAGCAGAGCTTTTTAACCACTGAACCATCAGGATGCCAACAAGCTACAGGAGTCATTTTCTGCTGGTATAAGGAGATCCAGCAAGAACAAAGACACAGGAAATGTACTTTTAGGGGCAGAGGCCATAGGGAGTCCCAGGAGGTTGGCTGGGTCATTGTAAAGGGAATGAGAACCCCATGCCAAAACAAATAGGGCTGCGTCCTAAAATGCTCTCTCACCAGAGTACAAAACCCAACAGGTATCAGAGACTGAACGGTCTGTGTTCATCTCCTAACCTAAAGATTGGCAGCTCAAACCCACGCAGCAGTGCCACGGAAGACAGCACTGTGATCTTCGGTAAAGATTGTAGTCAGGAGAACCCTAAGGAGCAGTCCTACCCTGTAACACACGGCTTGCCAGGAGTCAGGACTGACTCAACAATGGGTTTGGGTGGGTGTGTGTGTGTTTCTTCTACCTGCGTTCAGTGGCTGCTAACCCTCACCCCCTCCCGAGGCACCTGCCGTTAGCCATTTGTTGTCATCCACCCAAAGGCGCCCTACAGACCCTGAAGGGTGCTCTCAAACCCAGCTGGTGGCCTGCTCCACGTGCGGCTCACACCGTGCCCTTTCGTGACAGCCTGCCCACTCATGGAGCATCATCTCACAGCTCTTACAAACAGCTCCACAGTAGTCCTTTGTGCAGGTAAAGCTCACGGCCTGCCATTGAAGGGCATTTATCTTAAAGGTTGCCCCACATGGGAAAGAAGCCTGCCTGCTGTATTCAGGAAACGTCTTTCCAGAGGTCCTAGAGGGTTGGGTGAAATGGAAAGTAGGGCCTTCCCATTAGGGAGAAAGTCAGGGGACCTCCTTCTGGAAATCAGCCGGCAGAGACCCTGTG